TCTCAAAAAAAAAAAAAAAAAAGGACACACACACACACAAAAAAAACCCAAACCATTTTATTTTGAGGAATATGAGGCACAAGATGTAAGTGACTTGCTTACATCTTACAAGTCTGAGAAGCAGCAGAGCAGGGATTCAATCCAGGCAAGTGGGCTCCAGAGCTAGGAAATCTGCTCTATTACTTTCATTTCCTGAGAGTGAAACTGCCCCAAGGTACAGATGTATGAAGCCAACTAAGAATGTTGATAGGCTCCATTTTAACCCCCAAATTAAAGACTTTTCTAAGAAATTAATTTCACACTAAATTTAGTGATACCACCTGAAGAGCTGCTATTTTCTACTCACAGTCTTCCAGTTTGTACACACAATGTGCAATTTCTAATGCTCAGAATACTGAAGTCATTCCTTCAGCTAGTACAACCTTGCTGGCAGACCTTCAGTAAAGCTCTGTTGTCATGCTGACAATTAGCACAATGCACTACAAAAAACACCAGACTGGAAGTCAGGAGTCCTGGCCCCAGCTTGTATGCTAAAACCAACTGTGTGAGGGAATTTTGGTGGGGGTAAGATAGAAAGTGCTTTTAGGGTGGTGCCTGTGGCTCAAGGAGTAGGGCGCCAGCCCCATATATCAGAGGTGGTGGGTTCAAACCCAGCCCCGGCCAAAAACTGCAAAAAAAAAAAAAGAGTGCTTTTAAGTTATAACTACATGAATGTAAAATTGCTAATTATTCTTTTTTTAGCATATAAATTATTTTATATAATTTATAGCCTAAATTTTTTTTTTTATAATTTGTATGCCTATGTTGCCTTTTAAAAGTAATAAAATATGTATTTTTTTTATTGTCTGGGACTCACTGAGGGTACAAAAGAATTAGGTTACACTGATTGTATTTTCTAAAGTTCCTCTTATACTTGTGTCCCATCCCCAGGAAGTGTGCCATACACCTTGATCCCCCATCCCCTCCCTCCTACCTCATTCCCCTATCCCACTGCTAATTATTCTTAATGATGGATCAACAAAAGAATAACAAGATACAAAAACTGATATTCTTTTCATCTGTCCTAAGACAATCCAGGTTGTGATCCTACTTAGTAAGCTTTGCTTCCCTAGTGAGAGTAAAAACCAACACTATTATCAAAAAATGAGCTGGAGTACACTGGATGGTAAACATAGACCTGGACTTTAATCCTTTGACACCAAAAATTCAGGAGAGAAATATTCCAAGAAAAACAAACCTTATGAAAGAACATCAGTCAGATCGTCAATTTCCCTAATGAGGGGCCACACTGGTAGCTGGCATAAATTTGCATGTTACAGCTAATGCTGAAGGAAACTTTGGTGGTTCCAACCTTAAGACTGGTGAGAAATGACACTGTCATCTTTATTTAATACCCTCTATAGAGGAAAATTTCATATGACATAGATTTGTCCTTAGATTGATGGTCCCATGATGTACAGTAGGAGTGAAATTCTCATCTATTTTATACTCCGACGCAACCTTTATTTTTTATTATTTATTTTTTTGAGACAGAGTTTCACTATGTCACCCTATGCCGCGGCATCACAGCTCACAGCAACCTCAGACTCTTGGGCTTAAACGATTCTCAGCCTCCCAAGTACCTGGGACTATAGGTGCCTGCCACAACGCCTGGTTATTTTTTTGTTGCAGTTTTCATTGTTGTTTAGCTGGCCGGTGCCGGGTTGAACCGGCTAGCCTTGGTGCATGTGGCCAGTGCTGTAATCACTGTGCTATGGTTGCTGAGCTAAGCCGAGCCTATGGAACCTTTAATTGGATTATTTTCAAATGTTTTGTGAAGGCTTTCAAGTATATATCACAACTATATTTTGTGTATGTCTGAGCCTTTAAATTTACCTGTCTCTCAACCTAAGTTCTGCCCAATCTTAGCCCAGAAAGTTAATGGAGTCCAAACCTTTAGGTCTTGCCAGCTGCACCGACTTGACAAATTCTCCACAATAAGTCTGTACTCTGTGCGGGTAGGAGGGCCATATTTATCTCGGCCACTTCTTCTATAACCATATCCACCTTTGGAAGGTTCAAATACATAAGATTACTTTAGTGGAGGAAAAGGAAAAAATGACATAGAACATATTCCCCTTAAATATATCATTTATACCCACCCAAACAATAGCTTAACTCTATTTAATAATATTTTAACTCTATTCCCACCCTTAATTCTAAACTAGATTTTTAAGAAGGCAATCAGTTAAACATTAAAATTTAATTTACAAAGTCATAAGTATATATATCATTAATATTTATATTTAAGATTAACATGCATAAATTTAAAACTATTAATAATTCAGAAATAAGTAACCAAATTATTAAGTCAGTTACTGGTGTTACTCACAGTGATTAAAGGTTTTGTGAATATTTTATATATTAAAAAAAAAAAAAAAGATTTTCAGGCACCTATTTCAGTTTAATCTCATCTGTGTCTAACCCTTGGGATCCTCACCACCCAGGTCTAATGGGAAAAGGTTGCGGTCGTCACATGGCTTCCTGTTTTTGGTCAGCCAAGGGCCACAATGGTTCAAAGAGCCACGCATGGAAAGGTAACCCAAGGTCAGCAAATGGAACAGGCAGTCATCTTAGCCTCAAAGGATTCTTTTAATTAAAACATTGAGGTCTTTGTTAAATCTATGTTAAACAATTGCATTACAGAGAAAAAAAACAACACAAACACACATCATTAAACATTTATAAAGTATTAAAACAAGAAATTTATGTCATTAATTTAATTAAAATTAATATTATCAAAGATGTTTACTTGCAATTCTACATTAAAGATACACAATTTATAAACAAATGGCTTAAATATCAATACATTTAAATGTAACAATTAATTAATTACTTAAAAAATTAGCATTTAATAACAAAACCATGTCATTGATCCAAATATTCCCCTCAAATGCTTACTGCGTCCAGAACCGTAACTGCCATCTCGACGTGGGCCGCGGGCATGCTCAACAATTACTCGCTCACCACAAAGGTCTTTGCCATTCAGTTCATAAACAGCATCATCTGCATCACGCAGATCATCAAACTCCACAAAACCATATCTAGAAGAGAGCAAACAAAATCCTGGTTGGCACCATTTTGACATCTAGTTTCACTAACATTAAAGAGAAAACAATGAGGTTCATGCTTAGCAAAGGTTAGGTGGGTTTTGCAAAACTAAGGATCAGCTTTTTCTTCTCTTTAGCTGAAACCACTTTGCTTTGTGCCAATAGGCACTGCATGAGGAAGGGAGACTTCTCAAGGCAGACTCCTAAGTTTCTAGTAGGAGGCTGGTCAGATATTCAGAAAACACTTCTGTTGTTCCCCAAGAACAATGAGACCTACCTTCAGGCACTGTGTATTAATTGTTAAATCACGTTCAAAATAACATACGAGGTAAAAATCATACTATCTTAAATCTCCTCTATAAAAGGAAAAAAAATTTTTAAGTTTCTGTTCCTCTACCTAAAGAAATCAGTCACAAGTGAATTAACTGTTCTAGAAATTATCAGTGAAAAAAAAAATTAGAACTATTTACTTTCCTATGAGAGTCCAAACTCATTTTCAGATGGGCTGAATTCTCTAACTATATACAACCATGCAAATTTCTTTACATGGCATTGCTAGGAATTTCCAAGCAGAGAGGTTTGGTGGTTTAATCATATCCCAAAGAAAACAACCCCCCCATCCTATAAATGACTATTAAAAAGCACAATTTATAAAAGCAAAGCACAAAATTTGCAAGATTAAGCAAATTGAAAACTGTTATCAAGAAACAGTTTGGCTAATAGCTATTAAAGGTCTAGCTCTGTGATCATTGCCTATATTTACAAACCAAAACCATCTTATGGTCATATTTAATTACAAAGCAAAGTTATAAGCAATTTCTTTAAACTTTAACAAGGCTGTGTACAAAGGCAAACACTGATTAGTTTTTTCTGCATTTAAACATACTGACACTAAAACAGGATGTAAGACTTGACAGAGGTTCACCTAGTCTGCAGATAAAAAATGACTCCAGCTTCTTTAGCATGTAATGCTGTACTCAGCAACATGTTAAAAAAGTGATAAGTCAGAATTCAATTTTTCCCTTACTGAAGCGTTCCTTTTGTGCAAGAATCTGTTAAGGTGACAATGTGCTAGGTTACAACATGTAGGTAACAACTTTGGAGGGTTCTATGCTGAAATGTCTGAGTGGGATTGACTCTAAACTCCTTTTAAAAAATGTGACACAGACACAGTTATTTAATGGTAAGTGTTTTACAGTAACACAATTCAGAAGCCACCTGGCTCAATTTATGGACCGTGAAATCTTTAAAAAAACATGGTTTCATGCTCTCATAGGCTGGAATTGCAGAGAAGTTTAAAAAGAATGATTTCTGAACATGCCTTTATATTTGACAAGGCAAGTAAAGCCTTGAAAATCATTAACTTATTATGCTTGAAAGTGCTTTATTGTCACATAAAAAGCCAATCTATTTTCTACTTGGTTTTAACCCTTAGTAAAAAAAGTTAAAAAGTGTGCCTTCCTTAATTTGGTTGTCAAAACCAGCCCTGAGTCTGCTTTGCTCACAGCACCACTGCTCTTGACACCATTTAAGAGCCTGAATCCAAGCAAAGAAGGAGGGATGTTTGGCATGGTCATTGACAATAATGATCCCCACTTCCTTAAGAGTCACCTTCTGGCTTGGCACTGTTCAATGACCAGAATTGATGTAGTTTGATCTCAGAAGGACAAAACTGAGTACTGAGAATTAAACAAAAAACAGGAAGATGCCAACTGTTTTCTTCAAAACAGTTAATAAAGTTTACAACTCCCAGGGGTGTGTATCACAGAATGCAAGACCCTAAGCTCTGCAGGCCAACTGAGATATAAATCCCGGTGACTGCTGATGGGAAGAGATGCTTCTGTCAGACTCACATGGGAATATGTTCTCCCAGACTATAAGCATCCTGAGTGTTCATTCTGTTCCAAAGCTTACAAGCAGAACTTACCCTGACCTTTCAGGGAAAGCAATCACGACCTGTTCAGTGGAGGCATAAAAATTTAAAAATAAAAATTAATGCTCAGACAGAACAATCTTTCTCTGCAAACTGAGACTGAAACAAGGCATACCTTGCCAATCAACTCTTCCCTGAGTTGTAGGGACAATCTGTGATGTTATAGAAAAATGACCCCTATGATCCTTCCCTAATACTTACTTCTAAGAAGTTCCAATAAATAGGTCACTTAGTAGTCATATTTTTGGGGTATTCAAGTCACTTATTAAGTTAGTTGACGTAAGATCAAATTTATTTTACATGAAAATCTTGGTTACTCTTCTGTGAAAAGCCACAAAACCTATTTGAAACATTTTCATGTCAAAGTCCAGTTCAAGGATCAAATCAGGTGTCTTCCATTTCTCTGTGCCACTGACATGCTAGGGTGGCAGGATGGGGTGTGGGGGCAGTTTGGAAGATCAAAACAAATATCCTCCCATACAACAACCCATACCTGATAGAGACTCCTGTTCTGAATGTAAAGCAAAAACTAGAACAGTGTGGTTGGTTGTTTTTACCAAATTACTATTTAGATATGATTTAATGGAAAGATAACTTTATTTCATTCAACAAGTAATGGGTCCCCAAAATAAGGCAGGAAGACTAGTAATAACAATAAAACGTTATCTAACACTGACTATATACTCTCTATATACTAGGCAATGAAACTAAGGTATAGAGTTTTTAGAGGTTTTTTTTTTTCTTTTGCATAACTTACAAAAAATAAAAAATGAATAAAAAGCAGAGCTGGCATTCAAAGCCTATGGCTGATACCAGAGCTGAAACTCATATAACTATTAAGAATGGACAGCAAGAACTGGCCTACGTTCCTGTCCTGGTTCAGCTATAAACCAATTCTGAACAGCATATTTAAATCATTTTATTTCTATGGGTCTTTGTTTATTTGTGAAATGAGGGAGCTATACTAAATATCTCTAAGGTTTTTACAAACACCAAAAAATACAATATATAAAATGAGTACTTCTTTGGCTTAACAATGGGTCATTTAAACTCTAAAATTTGGCGTGTCTGGAACAAGATAGCACCACCAGAGGTATGCAAGAGCAACAGATGAATAAGCTTAAACTTAATTTTCAACATCTATAATACCTTTTAATACCAGGTATGTTCTCAATTTTAGGTTTACTTAAACATTTTAACTGTTCCCAAGTTAAATTTGGTGCCTTCAACAAAGTAAAGCTCTTCCTGGTAACCAACACTGAGGAGTCTTTAAAATCAATCTAAATATTTCCTTTGTGCTTTGCAGCAAGTAACACAAAACCAATCTCTTATTTCACCAAGTATTCCCCTTTGACGAGGTAAGGATCAATATAAAATACATACATGCATGTATACACACCATTCTATGTATGCATGTGTGTACATATGCTGTGTATACACATCTCTGGAGTAACCTGTGACTAAGCCTCACAAAACACAACCCGACAGATAAATTTCTCTAATTCTAACAGCAGATATCCTCCTTCTGCTCTATTAAAAACAAAGAACATCTTTCAGTAATTCTAATAAAAGAAGGAAGAGAATGAAGGAATTCAGGAGAAGGAATCTAAGACAAATTAAAAAAAACATCCACAGCAGGGACAAAAACACAAAGTGCCCTCCAATACACCTCATCTTATTCTCAGATGCTCAAGCTTTTCGTCTTCTCCTCTATGTACATAAAAGAATCAAGTGTGGCCTTACTATCCAATATATGATACTCTTGAATTAAGAAACCCCCCCCCACTCCTTTCTTCAACGTTTCTCCTCCACTACAGGATGAGTATTCCTATTCTGAAAATTTAAAATCTGAAACTTTTTGATCACCAACAAAGGATGCTCAAAGGAAACGTTCACTAGAGCATTTTAAACTTCTGGATTAGGGCTGACTGACTGCTAAGTATAATGTAAATATTTCCAAATCCCAAACACTTCTGGTCCCAAGCATTTCAGATAAGGGATACTCAACCTGTATTAACTTCCCCAAACTGTTTTCTTCTGGCCACCTCCTATCCTGACAAATTGAGTCAAAAGAATAAGGGGAAGTTGCTATCATTTTCCTTCTAAAAAAGTAGGCACCATGATATTTAGTAAGGACAGACAGGTATCTGGATACCACCAACAAAAGCCACATTGTATCACACAGGCTGTTCTAAACTTTCATTCTCATCAATACTCTCATCTCCCTCACTCAACAGATAATTAGTGTACTGCTCAGGCGATTTGCCAGAACTCTAAAAAGGTAAAACCGGAATGATGTTTTTCAAAACTAAGGTATGCCAACACTACTATTACTTTTTTTTTTTTTTTTTGAGAAAGGGTCTCACTTTGTCACCTGGGCTAGCACGTACTGGTGTTACCATAGCTCACTGCAACTCCTGGGCTTAAGTAATCCTCCTGCCTCAGCCTCCTCAGTAGCTAGGATTGCAGGAGCACACCACTATGCCTGCCTTATTTATTTTTTTTATTAAAGACTTCAATTTTGACTTTTATTTTTTTTGAGATAAGAGTCACTCTGTCACCCTGTGGTTGAGTGCCACGGTGTCATCATAGTTCACAGCAACCTCAAATTCCTAGGGGTTCAAGTAATCTTCCTACTTCAGCCTCCCAAGTAGTTGTGACTACAGGTGCCCACCACAATGCCTGGCTAGTTTTTCTAATTTTAGTAGAGATGGAGTTTTGCTCTTGCTGGGGTTGGTCTCAAACTCCTAAGCTCAAGCAATCTACCCACCTTGGCCTCACAGAATGCTAGGATTATAAGCATGAGCCACTGTACCGGGCCAAATTTTACAAATGTTAACCACACTTCTTCATCCAAGAATTATTATCTGAGTTAACACTGTTACTAAAACAGACTTTCTATGATCCTAACAACCTATACCAATGGTCCCAAACACCACTATGCCCACCCTTGTCTCTGTATTTTCTAATAAAGAGGATGTAGAATTATCTTGCTCTTTGCAGAATGGCTTAGGCTAGTAACCTCTGTCTTCCAAACAACTTCACTAAACAGGGAGGCTGGAGAAAAAGTCCTCTCTGAAAAATGATGTGTATGACCTGCTTTAGAAATAAGCTGATCAATGGTGAATTGGGCAGGGCATGACTAGGGGGTGCTCAGTACCATAAACTGCTGGGGAGTGGATACAAGGAGCAAGGGAAAGCAAGCCTCCATGCGTGTGACCACAGTCACCCACCAACACTGCTTACCGAGGGGCATGCCTTGGATGATCTCTCTATAAGAAAAATGTGCCCCTTGCCACGGTGGATCTCTGCTCACCTTTGTCCTAAAACTGTGCCACATGCTTTTCTTTGTATGTGGACATGACAGTCCTCAGCCAACCATCAGCAGGATGTGAGTTTTGTTTTCCCAATGTGGTGAGCCATTCCCACATTCACTCATTTCCTTGTAAGAACCGAACCTCTCCATGGCTGGTCAGGATTAGGGATGTTGCTGTAGCCAAGGAAAAATTTTCATCTGTTGAAGTTAACCCACGGGGTGGCTCGAGCCCTCAATCTAGAGTCAGTAGCACTGTACTTTAAGGGCAGAGCCCTTAAATCTACCCTGAAAGAAATGGCATTCAGTGAACAGGAATCAAACAGCTTTCTTTCAAAGCACTCAGTGTTGGTCCCATGCTTCAGCCAAATTGGTCTTATGAGGTGAAAAAAAGTTAGGACACATGGACAGGACAGTAATAAAAATCAGTAATTCTTGCTGTCTGCATAAAGTGCTTGGAAAACTACAGAAAGACACTTCTGCAACCAACTCTAGTGCTCAGATAAGGCCAACTCAGAGAAAAAGCTTGTGAATGAGAACAGTGTAACTGCCCCAATTCCAAAGGTGTGCAACATTCCAGGGAACCAGTGGTTAGGCCCTCACAGTAGAATTAACCAGTGTCACATTTACTGCTTGGGATTAGTGATTATGGTTGCAATTTGATTTTTCCAGTAACGGAGGGTTGTTTATAACCCACAAATAGAAGCTGCTACCACATGAGGTAGGTTCCTGAGATCCTTTCCTATCCTGAGACAGGAAGGAGGCTGCTCTGGGCATTCTGGCCTCCCTGACTTTCAGTCTCAGAGGAGGGAGGGCCATCAAGGCCACCCAGAAAGGGTGGATGACTTACCCGTGCTCACTGAGTGGCAGAGCTGGGGTGCGACTTCAGGGCTCACCATTACCCAGTCTGGGGCTCTTTTGACGTCGGCAAACTGGCAGTTCCCGCACACCAAGAGCTCTTTGATTAGAGCTAGTGTGGATTCCTGGTCTGCAAACGTTGGCCACAGCTCAGTCTGCACTTGATCTTTCCCCACCTTCAAAGAAGAAAACCTACCTCATGATTTCTCTCTTCTGGATCCCCTGACCATTCATTTCCAACAACCTTGCAATCATTTTTGACAACTCCTCCCTGGTTGCCCACTGGGTTTACTACCAAGTTCTATAGTTTCTTCATTTTGCTGGGCCTTCAGGACTGTCTCTACCTTTCTGATTGATTTACATAATTCTGGGTTAGAGCTATTTTTACTTAGTCAACTTGTCTCTATATTGTAGCAGGGAAAGTCAGTTCATTCTTTTGCTTGGAGATTTATAGTGACTTCTAAATATCTTTGTTTATGTCATTCTTTAACCAGGAACACCCTGACTATGTAAGTTGAATCATAGCAATCTTCTTCCACAAACCTCTTTCACAAAGCCCCAGAAACCCACCTGAGTCCGGTTATTTTAGCACTTTCTTTAGCTTTAGCACTTCTAATCGATTTTATGTTTTAAATGGTGATTGTTTTTGTGGCTTTTTAAGCCTTGTTTCTTTGTGCTTATTTTTTCATTTGGTTATGAGCTCATTAGTAACAACAAAGGCTAGTATGTCTGTTGTATATTTACCACAGTGCTTGATACATAATAATTTATCCATAACATTTCATTCATTCCTCATGACTGAAATGTGAATGGTGTATTATCATGGTTCCCATTTTACAATACGAAATGAAGACCTGGAGAGGCTAAATGACTTGCTCGTTGTCAAGGAGCTCATAAGTGCTGGAGCTGGATTTGAATCCAGACTTGTGCCTCTAACTCCCCAGCTTTAATCCATAAAGTTCCACTGCCTTATTTTTTATTTTTTGAGACAGAGTCTCACTTTGTCACCCTTGGTAGAGTGCCGTGGTATTATAGCTCACAGCAACCTCAAACTCTTGGGCTCAAGCAATTCTCGTGCCTCAGCCTCCCCAGTAGCTGGGACTATAGGCGCCCGCCACAACGCCCGGCTATTTTTTGAGATGAGGTCTTGCTCTGGCTCAGGCTGATCTTGAACTCCTGAGCTCAGGCAATATACCCACCTCGGCCTCCCAAGTGTCCACTGCCTTTTAAAGGCAGATACCTCTCATAGTCTTGAGCATTATCTTTTTCATTCATCAAATGTTGCTGCTTGACTTAAGGATTCTAATCTAGACAAGCCACGCTGTAGTAAAGTTTTATGATATAGCAGGAGAAAGTCTCCAGAGAAAGAAAGAAATTTATCTTGGGGCAGGGTAAAGCACCTCTAAGCTGGGGGTATATGACAACCAGGTTACTTTCACTCTTGTCTTTTGGTTCCCATTAGCCAGTGTCAGCCATCTGGTCCTTCCGAAAACATGTGTGGGTTCAGAACATAACAGACTAGAAGAATAGAGGAAAAATAAGATTATTCTGTGCAATCCCCATTTTGGAGGTCCCATATCAACCCCTAGAGTCTGTCTTTGGTTCTAAGGTTTGGCAAAAATCAGATCAGCACAGAGAAAATGAAGAGCTGGATCTAGACATGGTGGATGTGAATGAATACTGACAATAATACGAATTTAAAAATGCATTTAGTTTCACAAGGAATGGTAACTAAGACCAAAAATTATAAATATAAGTATAAATGTAAGGAAAAATGGGCTAGAATTCAAATGCTAGAAAGTTTACAGCCTTCCACCTACACTACAATTACAGCAGCAACCAAAAAAAATATTTTGTGTGATTAACACATTATTGTAACATGATTACTCTAGCCCATTAGGACTCTCCCTTCAAGTTCCTTTGTAACGATAAACTACTATTTTTCTGAACATCTTATTATGGATCATGCATTATGTTTAAGTGCTTTACACACATAATACATTCAATTTTCACAACTCTGGGGTTTACTGCCCTCTCACAGATGTAGGAACAAAGTTAGAGCAGTCCAGTAACTTGCCAATGCTATGCCCAAATACCTGGGATTCTTCAAAACCCAGGTCCTAATCTAAAACCTGTTCTATTGCTTCCTACACATCAATGGAAAGAAGTGGTCTGTTAGACTAGACTTTGAGAAATACAAGCTGTAGGAGCACAGAAAATCAGTTTCACTAGATATGTGCTATACCATGGAAGAAAAAAATGCCCACATGAATATCAGCATTCCATCAGAAATATTAAATGGGAAATATCATTTCTACATCAGTTGTGCGCTAATACTAGTGAGTTGTGAACATTTATTCTCCGCTAATGGAACCAAACCTATGAACTATCAACCAGTCTAGGAAGATAAAGGTAAAAAAATCATTAAGAAACTTTATCTCTGCAACGAGGACACCAATATATTGGCAGGAAAATCTGACTTGTGATCTTCCTTTCTGACAAAATAAACCATTTATTGAAAAAACCTCTAATTATAAAGAAATAATAAAACTCAAGCTCATGGTATTAAGTCCACATTGCAGATTTTGTCAGTCCATCTTTAAAAGAATACTTACTTATTGAATTGAGGAAAAAGAATAATCATTATCTTAAAAACAATTAAAACAAAATCCCTGCAGAATAAGAGATATAGAACAATCTGCATCAAATTTGTAATTAGTCTTATTCTTACTGTAACTGTTCTGAGCCTATCTGCCAACTTGTTTGAACCATCCAAAATGGTTTCAAAAATGAACTAAGTTTGCCAACCTATTTCACTTTCACTAGGCTGCCACCTTATTCCTATCCTATAAAATGGGACCACCCAGAAAGCAACATACAGCAGACTGGTGTAACTATAACTAGTTTGTGGGCCAACTATTCTAACAGTAACCCCATAATAACTAAATGCATTATTTTGGTATCTTAATGCCAAGATGGCTTTCCTTAAATTAGGGGGAGGCAAACACAATCACCTATGTACATTTCAATTTTCTGACATTTATCAATACTGAGGGTAAGTAAAAGGTTTCACAAAAAAAAGGGAGTCAACTATTCCCTGATAACACACTATGGTTCACACAAAATCATAAATTAAAAATGTGAGGCCACGTTTGGTGGCTCATGCCTAAAATCCGGACATTTGGGGAGGCTAGGGAGGAAGAATCACTTGAGGGCAGGAGTTTAAGACCAGCTGGGGTAACATAGTTAAGACCCTATTTCTATAAAAAACAGAAAAATTAGCCAAATCTGACAGCTTGTGCCTGGGATCCCAGCTATTTGGGAAGCTCCCTTGATCCTAGGAGCTTGAGGTTGCAGTAAGCTATGATGATGCCACTGCACTCTAGCCTAGGTATTGTCTCAAAAACACCCCCCCCACTTGAAAAAAAAAAAAGTAGAGATGAAAGTGGTATTATCAATTTAGAATGAAACTCTTGGGATATAAAACAGAATTACTACATCTGTTACTTTTACTTAATAAAATTAAAGCTTACACTCAGCAAACAGCGCTACCTGACTGCATACCAAAGCTACAAACAAAACCAGTTTATACTTACCTCTAAAACAATACAATGAGCTGCCAGGTGTTAAAGGTGCATAAAGGTTATGCCTCTGGGACCTTCTCAGCTGCATGAGGGCCTCATAACCGCCCTGGTCCCTGAACTGCAGTCTGTTTCTTTTTCATTAAAGCCATCATTTTCCATATATATCTCGGGGATGCACTTCCCTTGAAATTAGCCATTAATGAAATATTTTGATGAATTTTCAAACTTTTACAATTAATGGATCAATAGCTTCATTACATTCACACAAACAATTTTCTCAAGTCAATGTTCTGGTCTCTTTCCTGACTTCCTTGCCTGAGCCTCCTGCTCACCTACTTCATTCCCAAATGCTGAATTCAAACCTTCTTCCTCCAGTAAACCACTCCTGTCTCCACTCTCTAGGTCAGTGGTTCTCAACCTTCCTAATGCTCCGGCCCTTTAATACAGTTCCTATGGGTCGCAACCCACAGGTTGAGAACTGCTGTTCTACGTCTTAGAGGTCTCTATTTCATGAAGAGGTCTCTATTTCATGAAAGTCCTCCTTCTGGCTTACAGGCCTTAAAGACATGGCTGAGGACCTAGCAGAGAAATAACAAGGTTCTTTTCTTTTTGAGACAGAGCCTCAAGCTACTCCCCTGGGTAGAGTGCCGTGGCTTCACAGCTCACAGCAACGTCCAACTCCTGGGCTCAAGTGAGTCTCCTGCCTCAGCCTCCCGAGTAGCTGGGACCACAGGCGCCCACCATAATGCCCGGCTATTTTTTGGTTGCAGCCATCATTGTTGTTTGGCGGGTCCGGGCTGGATTCGAACCCGCCACCTTAGGTGTATGTGGCTGGCGCCTTAGCCACTTGAGCCACAGGTGCCTAGCCACAAGGTTCTTTTAAATGCTTCTTCTGGTATCACCTGAAGCTCTGAGACCTCTAGCCTGGGAGACTTTCATTTCAACACTCAGGAAAATCTTTCAGGGCAATTCCTTAAAATACAGGAGTGCAAATTAAGGGCATCACCCCTCATCTTCAGGTTTAAAGGCCAGATGGCTCTTGGAATAACAACAGGACAGAAAATATTTACTTGTACAAATCCTGCCAGCCAGTCATGACAAAGCTGACACCACCTTGCAGCTCTTTAAAGAGTAGCCTGAGGAAAGACTCACCAGCAGTATCTGTCCAGTGACAAAGTCATAAGAACGTCCATCTGTCTCACTTTTGGCAATAACTTATCAGCTGGTTGGAAGCCACTTCAGAGACTAAAAGGCTACACTGGCTAGGAAACCTGAACTACTCTCTCACCACTAGAGGCAAGTCCCAAAATGACAGGACCAAACCATCTGGAAGGAAACAGCCTGAGAAGCTTTGACAGCCGCTGCCCATGCTATAATCTGGTATGTGAATAAAAGAAATTCTTCAGTTTCCAGAGACGTCAAAAACTCATTTTGTAACCTTGGGCCAGTCACTTAATTGTCCCATGCCTTAGTGTTTCCCCCTTCAGCATAAACTACGGACAACACCTGTTTGTAATGGACTTTGATACACTCAGTTGAAAAATAAATCATACAAATGTATTAACGTTTTCTAAAGTTTTGAGGTTTCATTGTTAGTTTACAAATTTACAAACATCACTCCCAAAAGTGTCCTCTCAGATGCCTGGAGTACCTTTCTTCTGAGGAACACAGAACTCAAAGTATAATTTTCTATTCTACTACAGTAAAACCTCTGTTAAGTTGACCACCCAAGGGACTCAACAAACTGGTCAGCATAAGGACTAGGGCTACTGTACTGACATGTACATGTGGCACATGTCTGGTCTATGCAAATTAAATTAGGTCAACTATGAAGGTCCTACTGTACTGGGAACCCAAATCACATTCAAGTCTATATCCTCTGCCTATCTTTTAAGAAGGGATAAATAACCTCACATGGCCCTTTGACTCAGATAATACCTCAATGAAGAAGGGAGGAGCAAGATAGTAAACTGAAGTAAAGGGGTTTATAATGACTTAGTCAAATAATTACAAATGATGGTTATTCATACCACAAACTGACTGTGAAACCAGGACAAAGAAGTAGGGGGCAATTTATGCTAGTAACATTTGATCAAACTTTCAATAAAGCATTGTCTCTTGGCACTGATTTTTTACAAAATCACAAATTTGCATTAGTTAAATTAGCAGATTTTAAACAATACAGGTGTATGATGCTGGTGAGGAAGTCACCACATGGGTGTGCTCATATATTGCTAGTGTAAATGTAACTGGTGCATATTTTCGGCAAAGTTATGTGGTTGTAAGCATTGACAGCCTTAAATATGTTCATTCCTCCTGCAACACAGGAATTTTATTTCATGGGATCTGTCCTAAAGGCATAATAAAGATGCAAAAAAAGTATGCATCCAACATGGGGTTATTTCTTTTTTTTTTTTTT